TTAGTATTATTATCGTTAAATTTAATATAATTAAATAAATAATTTTAATTTACTTTAGTTCGTTCCGAATTTGTTAATGGTGGAAGTGAAATAACATATCGATCTTGATCCGATAAACAAGGAAAATCATGTTGATCTTGTAATAATGTTAAATATCTTTTAAAAATAAAAATATTTAATAAATATTTGTTAAATATTTAAACTAACTTATGAAGACCTGAAAGTTGATTTCGTTTTTTTAATTTTCTTTCATGTTCAGCATCTCGACATAATTGATCATAAAAATCTCTTGCTGATACTAATTTAGATTTTCCAAGTGGTATAAGACCTATTTCATCTGGATCCCGAGCATCATAAACTAAATTTCCTGATATTAACGATAAATCATGTGTACCAATTGTTGCTAATGTTCGTTTTTGACATATTTCATCATGAAGTTCATTCTAAATTAATATTTACATTTATTATTTATTATTTATTATTTATAATTATAAATATTATTAAACAAAAACTAATCAGTTTTTATGATAAAAATATATTATCTTTGATTTATTTAATATATATTAAGTTATTCTTAGAAAAAAAGAAAAGAAAAAAAGAAATTTATGAAATCAATGAAGTTTACCTAAATACAGTAAAATATTGTTAAATAAGTCTCTTATGTAAACAATTTAAATAATTATTCTATATATTAAACAAATTTAATAATATTTATTTTTATTGAGATTGTAATATAAAAATTAAAAAAAAGAAAATCTTATTTTTAAAAGAGATTAATTAAATATTTCTTATTATATAAATTATAAATAATAATTATAGAATATAATTATTATTAACTCGAATAAATTCAATTAGAAAATAATATAAGAATATTTAAACATATATATAAATTATTTCTATATTATTATAATAGAGAAAATAAAAAAATTTTTTAAAATATATTCTAAATCAATGTGCAACATTCCAAATTTATATTAGAATAAATGCGGAAACTTCGGATTTAAATCCGAGAGTTATGTGTACTTCAAAAAGTGAATCATCCTAGCAGTGGCGTACGCAGCAATTTTTCAAGGGGGGGGCCCAACTTCGTAAGGGGGGGGGGCCCGCCATGACAAAAAAAATTT